CCCCTCCCTCAGGGCTTCACCCACAGCTCCATGCCTTAATTCCCAGAGTGCCACTAACATGGAATGTCAGTGAAAGATGAAAAGCAATGGAAGAGATGGGAAGGGGCAAGTATGTGGAGCTCCTGGCCAAGAATAGCAGAGACCGGCAGCAGAAACTGACCTTCCTATTACTCCGTATGGAGCCAGATCACTGCTGGAAGGAACTTAGGCCTGGAGATTTGCCCTCCCTCCTCATGTCCTTCCAGAGCACAATTTGGCCACATGTCCAGGCCACCAAAGGCTGCCACTCTTCCCTCTTGCCAGTATTTCAACATCATTCTGCTCGCCCCATCCAGCTTACCTCTACCCAGGGAGCTCTCAAAGCTGACACATTTGGGCCGACCCTGTGGCTCACTCGGGAGAGTGTGGCGCTGGGAGCACAGTGGCACTCCCGCCGCGGGTTCGGATCCTATATAGGAATGGCCGGTGCACTCACTGGCTGAGTGCGGTGCGGGCGACACTAAGCCAAGGGTTGCGATCCCCTTACCAGTCACACACACAAAAAACTGACACATTCACTCTGGTTCTCATGAGGCCAGCTGACCCAAAGGAGTCATCAGAAACATTTGTACCTATTAGCCAGCACTCATGCCAGCCTGTCACCCACCAACTTCTTTTTTTTTAAGAAACAATTCTCTTTTTTTTTNCCATTCTCAACACTTATCCCCTTCCCAGTTTCCTCCTTATCTTCCAATTGAGCTCAAATGCTACCTACTCCAAGAAGCTTTCTTTGAGCATCAGGATCTCAATTAATCTCTTATATCTATGCTCACGTAGGCCTTCCTCCTCCACATGGTCCTCCTCCATACAATGGAGGGCAGTTGCTCCTTTACTTGCCTGTCTCCCTGCTAGGCTATATAGCCTTGATGTTAATGCCTGGCACATGGTAGGCACATAATTAACATGTGAGGTATGAGTGAGAGAATGAGGGAGAAACAAGCCAGCTTCTGACTAGAATGTGGTGAGACACAACTGGATGGCCCCCTCCCTCAGGGCTTCACCCACAGCTCCATGCCTTAATTCCCAGAGTGCCACTAACATG